GTGCTTTGGGAATTGTCTATTGTTTCTAGTCTGTCATTATACAGCATTCTTGTTCAGCACGCGTGCAATGACCACGCTTGGTTGACTTCCGAATGCTCACCGACATATTATAATTAGAATGAAAAAATAGAGGGATTCCCGTCACGCAACGTCTCCAACCAGCTGAGTGTGCATCATGCCGAGAATTAAAAACTCTAGAAAGAAAATGGCTGGGGTGTTGAATGCTATTCGAGTGAGAAAAGAGGTTCGTACGGCCTGAGACAGGCGATCGCGTGATACATAGAAGTTTAACTCATGATTTTTAATCAATTCTTGTGCGTCTTGTGCCTCTGCAAAAAAATAAAATCAAGAAATGCAACACACGAAATCTACTTACTATTAAAAAATATGATTTTACATGGGTTTAATGCAAGCTAATAATTAAACCAACTCATTACTTATCCGTTAGCGGGTAGCGAAAAAATTAACTAGACTTGTAAGAACTGTCAGTTTTTTTGTGACTCTTGGTTTCGAGCTCGTTTTGCTTGGAGGTAAAGCTAAAATTGTTAGCAAGGCTCTTGAACCTCCTGCACTATACAAACTGCTGAGGGTGTTCATGTCTAGGCCGGCCTTGCTTATTTTGTCCTTCATAACATCGGAAATTCCCAGCCTGTGTAGGGTAGACTTTCTTCTTTTGGCAACAGCTTTCATAGCCATGTCTTCACAAAAATTATTTGCTTGCCTAGCCAACGCTACCATCCTTTCCAGAGTCTGTTGCAACTTGTTACTGTGTAGGACTCTTCCGAGTGCAACCACGTCCTCTAGGGAATCATGGGCGTTAAATTGCTCGCCGAACAATTTCTCGTACACTGTAGCAAGAGATTTCCCCTTGCACTCCTTTAGATGACTTCCCCGCGCCTTTTTTTCTTCTGTGATTACTTCTAGTGAATCCAAAAGCATCGGCCTGCACTCTAGAAACTGCTGAAGTAGACCCTGTTCCTTCATCGAACGTAGCAAAATGGGGAAGTCGAACCGATTACCGTTGTGGGCAACAAGAACAACCCGCGTCTCACTTCCAACCTCTTTTATGAAGCTAAGAAAATCCCCCAATCCCTGAGCTTGTGACACAGCTGGCAACTGGTTACCATTTTTGTGCAATTGCTTCGCCCCATTTTGATATCTTACAGACACTCCGTGAATCTTGGTCGCACTTTCCGATATCATTTTCTTGTCTGGAAGCAGATACTGGTTAAACGGCGCCTTCCCCTGAACTAAGCAGGACAGTTGAATTATCTCGCACTCCATACCAAGCCCCGTTGTTTCTGTATCACATATAGCAAGCACAAAAGGGCCATTCGGTGTCCCCGTCTCCTCCTGAAAACATATAACAGTGAAAGAATTAGTTTCAACATCGGGCGTCAACGACGGGGTTTCGGGCGTGTACCCACATCCCCTCCCCAAAAAGGTATAACCACGTGTATTTCAAGTGCCTGCGCTTTATTTTGGAGTTTTTGAGCATCGGAAGTCTATAAGGGACAACAAATCACAATTTTTTACCCCTTTGAAAAGTCCTGGTGATACCTATGGATAAATTCGATAAAGGGTGTAGCCGCTATAAGTACCTCATTTTCTGTACTCTCTTGTAGGCTCGCTATGCTCACATAGTCATGGAATTCCTTGTCCGTAATAGTCGATCGTAGATCATTCAAAGTACCATTCGTGATTGTCAATCTGTCAGCCTCACTTTGTGTTAGTCCTACACCGCTCTCATAGGTCACGCCCTCGTTATGTTCCAATGATCGGGTCTTTTGGGTTTTCTTTTTCTTCGCACTTCTCCTAGCTCGCTTAAACGCCTTGGTTGACTGCCTTAGACTATTTCTATCTTTCTTCTTGTCCATCACCTTGGTGTGCTTTTCAGTCACAGCATTGCCTGCTACACCCATTAGTTGCGCTGCCTGGTTAACATATCCATACCCTTCATTGAATTGCGAAATTGCTGCCGCCGTGCGGAAGTCGCTACTCTCAGATCCACCGTAGTGACGAATTTTCGGTGCTTTCGTACCAATCAAACTGTTGACGCATTCGTTTCGCTGGCTGGACCCACATGGAGCAAGCTTTTTGGCTGCCTCTTCAGTGAGAAAAGGTTTCATAGCATCCTCGATACTAGCTCGCAGATCGTCTCCCTAATCCCTCCCTAAATGACACAATTTTCCATTATCCAAGCGACACCAAAACACTTTGAAAAAAGCAATAATGCCTGTCGACCAAGATGCTTTGCGGCCGAGGTTTTGATTTTCGTATCATACGGACATATTTTGGTGAATTGCCTTTATCTAACAATATTGCGCGAAGTTTGCGAAGTATAGTTTCTCTGCTAATTATTCAAAGATTTATTCTAGTGCAATTTTCACATTTTGTGAGTTAAAGCATAACGACCGCAAAGCATGCCTTTCGACAAGCATTATTGAAATCTGATTGGCTCCCATACTCGCTATCTATTCCGTGATAGATGTTCAGTAGAACTTTTATAGGCCATCCCACGGTATATACCGGTAACGTATCTTTTGTAGAGCTCATCTACTATTCACTGGCTATAGTGCTCTTGTCTTGAAAAGTGTAGAATGTACGAAAACCAACGCCAACACCCCTCGCTACTGGTAAGAGGTAGCAGCGTTCCATCCGAGATTGACAAATTGTGAATTTACCTGAAGATCTCTTCCACCAGGAAGGTCGCCATGACTGTAGTTTTCTGGGTCCTGCTTGTATGTACACCATTCTTTGCAAAGAGTGTGTTCTCCGAACGCGTGTGGCACTATCGACTTCAGCCCCTCCAACAAGGATGACTCCTTTCCCTTGTTCTGTCTTATGCAATACGTGAAGCATCTTTGCATATAACCAATAACTGCTGGGCTGAGACCCTTCACTTTGGACTTGACAGCATACAGTCTGGAACCCAACGTGCGGCTTGCGTGATTGATGTCGCTCCATTTTTCTATGTCATAGGCTACCAATGACTGCAACAGATTCTCTGTTGTGCTATCATCATCACCAACATACGTCGAGTAACGTACGCCACCTTCGACTGCATCACCAAATAGCTGCACTGCAACGTTGGCCTCCATACTTTTGGATGAGCCTTGGTGATTACGACGGCAGTCGTGCACGGTGGGCTCCCTGTTGTTAGCAACAGCCTCTTGACACACTCGGCATAAGGTATTCCGCGTGGCATAGCTGATCACTTTTCCCGTCTTTAGCCCCACTGCAGTCCCCACTCCGGATGAGGAATCATAGCTCTTGCCACGCTTTCTCCATCCCATGTCGTAGGACACGCCCACTGCCACTGGCTCTTCCCCCTGACCGTCATTCTCTGAGAGGTCCCTTTCCATCTCCGTAAACGCGGCACACGACCGCTTGGCCACACTCTCAATGGCACTTCCAGCTTCTCGTTCTCGTTTCTTGAAGTTTCGCGAAGTCAGTGAGGGAAGCCCAAGGGCAGACATCAAACCAGAGTACTGTGAATGGCCGATTCCGGTATGCAAGGCCCCGAGACCTGCTCTGGAATTTATGTCAAGAGTTGCTGACCCCCGTTTGCCAGTTCGGTGGCTCTCGGCAGGGCGGATACTGTTGATGAAGCAACAATTACTGCATTTTACTTTTAAAATAGGTATCGGTCCTTCCGGTCGCACGTCTTGGCAACTGTTAGCTAGTCCTAACGGCCCCTTATCACAATATTGACATTTCTCAAGCGCTTCCGTAAGCATTTCCAGGTTGACAATATATTCTTGGCTAGCGTTCCCTATTTTCTTATACAGCGGGTCCGAACGTAAAATAGGTCTCGTGGGCGATGAAACTGACGCCTTGCATCGTTGTTCTGTTGCAGCTAGTTTAATGGCTCTCATCTTTTCACATTTTTCCTCATATTGTCTCCTCTTTTTTCTTTTTATCTCACTACTCTCGCTCGCTGCACTCTCTGGGGGACTCTTCTGATGGAAAAATACAAAGTCCGCAATATTAGGACGTCCTATCACGATGTCAATGATATTCAAATCAAGCTCAATAATGTTCAAATAACTCTTAAAATAATGGACACTTACGAACCTGAAGCACAATCTCTTCTCCGTGAACCTCTTTTTTCACTCGAATAGCATTCAACACCCCAGCCATTTTCTTTCTAGAGTTTTTAATTCTCGGCATGATGCACACTCAGCTGGTTGGAGACGTTGCGTGACGGGAATCCCTTCTATTTTTTCATTCTAATTATAATATGTCGGTGAGCATTCGGAAGTCAACCAAGCGTGGTCATTGCACGCGTGCTGAACAAGAATGCTGTATAATGACAGACTAGAAACAATAGACAATTCCCAAAGCACAATCTCGGCCAAAACGCTGAAAATGTTCAATGTTTACTCAAGTTTGGGCTTATAGAAGATAATGTCACAGTTTTTCAATGACCATGAAATTCATAGTCCGGGTAGCTAGTTAATCAATCGTGGCCCTGAAAAAATTTGAAGAAAAAAAAGCTACGATTTTTTAAGAAAATGCTTTTTTCGTGAGAAGGACTCTCAAACGCTGACAAACGTCAACAAATAGCGAAAACTATAATTTGTATATGTTTGCTTTGCTCGAAATCGCGCGCATTTACAAGGCCCTAAAGCTTTGTGCTGACTTGCAAGGACCCATCTGTTATAACGATCCCCAAAATAAAGGAATCAGTCTCATAGTTTATTAGATATAATCGTGTAAAGTTTGTTTATCATTTTCGCATAAATTATGACCTCAATTTGGAAACCACTGAATTTCTCGAATTGGGTCTTTGCGATTTTGTTGAAACTCTGTCCAGCGCAAGGCACTAATGCGCACTACGTGTAGCCGAGAGATTTTCACGAAAAAATGCCGGTAACAGCAGATTTTCGACTCAGACCTCAAAGGGGCGTGGCATTATAACCACGTGACATTTACTCCGATCGCCAAAAATTTTATGTTATATTGTAGATTGATCTATATGTTATCCATTCTATGTGTTAGACTTACGATAAAAGTAAAGGTGGAGATACCAGAGAGCTTCAAAGTAGGTTGGTACTCCCCCAAAAAAACTGGGTCGAGTCCCCTTAACGGGAAAGTGTTTATTTCCGGTTTGAGGAATTAGGAGACCGCATACTATTAGAGTCGTTTTTCTTTTCCCGCGGGATTCGGGTAGGCAACGTTCTGGATGCCATATGATTTCATGGTTTGGACGAAATCTTGGACTGGCTGGCTGGCCCATTTGACCTCGATCTCATGTGAAAGTTTTTCTCGGTCGAGAACTGGTATCTATTTTGTGCCTCGCTCGTTTACCGCAGATAATTTTTGTTTCACTGTATCCTGGGGAGGTGTATCAATACCGTTTTTTCCTTACAGTTTTTGGTATTCGTTTTTATTGAAGTTTCTTTTCTAGGAAAAGCAAGATAATCCGATAATTAGATTTTGTGTTAACTATGTGTTCGGCACACTGTATTTGCTAATATGGATAAGAGCTACATCAACTCAGATCGACCATCACATCTTTTGTAAATAACATCACTTCTTTTTGAAAAACTGCTTGCAGTCTTAAGTTCTTGGAAATTTTTTGTAGTTCATCTTTATCTTACTTAAACATTGTACTGAACAGAACGCTCATTATCACTGCCCAAAAGCTTCCTTTACCTTGAAATTTAGTTTATAAAAACAGAAATGAATTTCAGCGGGATTTTCGAGTAAACGACGAAAAAAGCTGGATATGACAGCTATTTTTCCAAGAGGACCGGAGCTACACTCAGCATTAGAGCCGTTAAACATTCTAAGACTCATTTGGACGATGCCGAAAATCAAAGGAATCGCCAGTAAACCGTCAGCGGTTGACAAACTTACCAGAACAACGTTAGAAGCAGTTCGAAGACTATGAAATTTGTGAAACGCTCTAATCACAAGATAGCTACCGAAGATGGCGGCGACAGTCGAGATGAGACGAATGCTCATAACTGAAATTATAATTACTTTTTCCTTCGCCAGGCTGAGGTTTTGAGCAGGGCAATGCGTTTAGTTTAGTCCAAATTTTTCCTGGTTAGAAGACAAATTGCTGGCCATGATGTGTTTTCAGACTTCAATGCTGGTTTTAAAAACTTAATTATAGCAACAAGACCAGCAGATCGTACAATGTGTTTTTCCTTTCTAAATTATACTCATCCGACTTTTATTTGAATCGTAATGGGGTTAAGAACTGTCAGCTGTATGCAAAAGGTCAGAATCAACACGCGGCCCATAAAATCCGCACAACAACAAAATGACAACTATTCTTCTATTCGTAGTTAAACCAGTTAGTAGTTAGTTCGATACACTCTTTTTTATTTTTTCCCGCTTGCTTCATGCTGCCTCTCAACTACGCGGACTCCTTTTTAACACAGACGCATACGCGCAGACAAATCCAACTGGCCGGACTAATTCTGATTGGTTTGCGCATAACACAAGATCGTGTAATGCTGTTATCGGACAAGGTTTGCTTCACTGTTTGACATGTTAATCAAAAGGATAAGAAGGAAACGACTTTCTTAAAAGCATTGCGAGTTCGAAGTAGCCAACTTTTGCCATACACTACCTTTTTACTCTCGCCGCGAAAATTAAATTTCGCTATTTTCGCGATTTGGGAAAAATCGCGAAATTTAATACCAGACATATAGATACGCATAAAATAACGAAATTCAAGATGTTGCTTTATTAGTTATTCCAACAAGTTTATCAGAGTGTAGATATTTACTATGTAACCATTTCTGGGTACTTACAGCTATTTGTGGGTACTTACAGTCAAAAACTATTCATCACTTTCAAAAAAGACGCGCGAAATTTTTACCTCCGTTGTGCACACTGTCAACAGGAAAACTTGATGCAGGGCGTTTGTTTGGTCAAAAAAGATGGGAAGAATTAGCAAAAATAGAAACAAAGAAACATCCGACCAAGAGCACGAAAAAGAAAGTCGAAAGTCCCCATAATTAACGGGCCCGGTAAGCTGCATCCGTTTACATTAAAGATTGAGGTTTCAATAGTTTTGCACCTAACATGATAAAACTATCAATTGATGAAACAAAATGGAGTAGTTTGCAAGCCAGGACAGGCGCTCCTATTCTTTATAATTTGATTTGAATATTTGATTTCAGGCGAAAAGTTACCGGGACTTTCGAGAAATGGGCCTCTGGACCCCTGGGGAAGTCTCTATAAACTAGAAGTAATGTTTTAATTTGCTATTGAAGGTGTCTATTTTGCTGATTTTTTAAGGTTTGAAAAATCGGTATTTTAAAAATTTTAAAAAATTGTGCTGATATCCATCAAACCTATACTGCAATAAAATCCAGCTATGGATCAAAAAGTTAAGAGGACCTTCGAGTAACAGGTATTGCTCGCGTTAATATAGCGGCGTTATGAGTTCGCCTGGCTCCAAACTGCGGCCCACTTCTTAACTCATGTAGCTTTTATCAAGAACGAGAAGTCCAAAGACTACTGCCAAGCTGATTCAGAACAACTGGTATTGTTTTTTCATAACAATATTTCGGCTGGCCATACCAGCGTTCTTCAGGTTTACAGATGTTACTGTTACAGATGTTACTTTTTATCAAGCATTCACGTTTTGGCGCCCTCCAAAGTTCATTTAATTCCTCGAATCTCAAATATGTATCGACGGTTAGTGTAAACTCGCTGGATATAGCAAGGTCCTGTAAATTGTCATACGCCCTGAAAGCATCAATCGTAGCTCACACTCGCGAATTATACTGACGAGATGCCTGCAGGGTTTGCATTACTTCGGGAAGTGCGCCACTATCTTGTTCGAGTTTTTCTATGACAACTTGACTTTTAGAAAACGTGGACAAGTAGTCGTTTTGTTTTAGAAGAAACCAGCTAGCAAACTAACTTTCATTCTATACCAGGTTTTGATGAAAATTTGTAAAAAAAGAAGTCTTTTAATTTATACACATCTTGGATTCACAAAACGTTGAGAAAAAGAACGAGAGAAACCAAGTTCAACTCACAGCAAAAGTTAGTTCTTGTAAAATATAATAAACAAAACGCCCATTCGCAAAAAACAAAAAGCCACAGGGCGTAGACAGGCTCTGTTTGTTCAGCATATTGCAATAAGAGGAAGGTTTTAGTCATGGAAAGCAGTTATTTTTAGCAAAGCTAAGAGCTGGATACATAATTTGAAGCGGAGCTCTCGCGCGAGAAGCGCCCGCAGCGGAGCATCATGGGTAAAAAAATGTGGTAATCTACCTGTCCGAGAAATTTTGGCAATCACGTGACCGTACGTCCAATGTAACAATAACAGGCATACTAATGTAAAATAACTCAATCAACAGTTATGGCAACCCAAATGCAAGTCGAGGTTATTTTGGCGGGAAATCGCATAGCCACCCGCACTTTGTAAAGCACAGACAACTAAAGAGTCAATAAAGACAAAAACGGAAAGCGGAAACTGTTTCTGTATCCGTGTTGTCTAAAGTATTAAGCTTAGATTACTTGTCATGTCCACAAATTTGG